CACGTGTAGGTGTGTACATGTGTTTGTCTTTAGCATAAAAGCCACGGAGAAACCACTGTCACGTGTAGGTGTGTACATGTGTTTGTTTTTAGCATAAAAGCCACGGAGAAACCACTCGTGTAGGTGTGTACATGTATGGCACTTGTATTTTGAAAAGGCCTCTGGGTACAGTAGAAGAACAATTGGAGGAGGAATGTGACTAGAGTAGATGCTCTTGGGTAATTTGGTTTGGGAGTACTGCCAGTTGGGCAGTACTGCCCCCTGGAAGCTGTAGAAAGATCCAAGTGGCATGCACAGAAGATGCCTGCACATTGTCCTAGATTACGGGCCGTGGTATAAAAGTTTTAATTGCCTGGGGGTAGGGGCGCTGAGTTATTTTGTTTTTCCTCGAAATGGGGGCGGTAAGCCAAATAAGTTGGGGACCCTATGTCCTATAGGGTTGTTTTACCTTGGAATCAATTAATTGGTTTGGTTTGGGTTTGTTTTTTTGGGACAGGAGCCAGCTTGGTAGAGTGACTATTGGTTCCATCTTGTTTTGATGTCTCCTATATCAGTCAATATTTTGTCCATAGAATCTCTCAAGACTGCAACTCAAGGCTTGAATTTTTTGTGTGACGTCTTTCAGTCTAAGATAAGCTGAGCTTGTTCTTCCATTTTGATTTTCCACTCTTAAGTCTTTGCATGTCATTATATTTTACTTTGTCTTCTCAAGCTGCCCTTTGAAATTTTCTGTTGATCTCTGACTTCATTTCTCCCATTCACCTTATCTGCTTTATGGATGAGAGCAAGTTTCAGAGTCTCTTCTGACATCCATCTGGCTCTTTTCATTCTTTCCTTTGAATGACCCTTTGCTTTCTTCGTGTGTGAGAGTCCTGCTATCCCACCGCTCTTCCTGTCTTCTGTCACCATGGCTCAATCCGTCCAATCTGTTCTTAAGGTATTCTTGAAAATCAGGGAGAATACATTTAAGGTTATATTGAGTCATGTGGATGTTTTAATTTTCTTCATCTTCAACCTGAACTTATATATGAGCAATTGATGGTCTTTTTCACGTCAACACTGGCCTGATTTTAACTGTTGGTACCGAGCTGATACTAACTCTTCCCACAGATGTAGTAAATTTGATTTCTCTGATTTGATTATCACCTGGAGAAGTCCCGGTATATAAAAAGATTTTATTGATGAAGAAGTTTTTAAAAATTCTATTATTCAATCTCCAGCTTTCATCAACTTTTGCATTCCAATCGCCAATAATCATTAATGCATTTTAATTGCATGTGTGATTAATTTCAGCCTGAAGAAGTTGGTAGAATTCTTCAATTTCTGCATCACTAGCTTTAGTGGTTGGTACAGGAATTTGATTAATAGTTGTATTGGTTGGATCTTCTTGTCTGCGGATAGGTACTGTCCTATCACAGACAGCATTGTGCTTCAAGGTCTTGTGTCCTTTTGATGATGAATGTGACATCATTCCTGTTGAGTCTGTCGTTCCTGGCATAGTCAGCCATGTGATTTTCTGATTCAAAATGGCCAAGAACCAGTCCATTGCAGCTCACGAACACGTAGGTGATCAATCTTTATGCGGTTGATTTTTAATGGCTTCTAATTTTCCAAGATTCATACTTTGTACATTCCACGTTCCAATTAGTAATTGGTGTCTGCAGCTGTTCTCTATTTGAGTCATACCCCATCAACAGATGAAGGTCCCCAAGGCTTTCCTCCATTCACATCATTATGGTCAGCGCTTCTTTGAGAAGGCAGTTCTTCCTCAGACACGCTTTGATGTCTTCCATCCAGACGGGCTTATCTTTTGGCAACGCTCTGACAGTGTTCTGCTTCTGTTCGTTAGGGTTTCAGTCGTTGGCAATGTTTCGGTGTTTCCATAGGGCTTTCCGTGGCTCTGTTCGCCTTCCTCGTAGTCGGTTCTTGGTCTGGAAGCTCTGCTGAAACCGGTTCACTTTGGGTGACCCTGTTGGTATTTGAAATACCAGTCACATAGCCTTCAGCCTCACAGCAACACACATCACTGCAGTAGACACACAGTGGTGATGGTCGTCCTCGGGGTATGAAGTGGTACCTTGCAGTTCTGACGTGACTTGTTCTGGCAGCCGATGAGGCTAAGCATCTTTTTATATACTAACTGGCCTCTCCGTATCAGCTTTGCAGAGATGCCTGTTCAAACCCTTTGACCATTTTTAAATGATGTTCTTTGTATTTTTATTATTGAGTTTCACAATGTATTTTACTCTATATGAGTTTTGATATTAAAGTAGGCTTCACGTAGCTGATATACTAGGGTCAGTCCAAAAGTATTCCTACTGGAGTTCTGATTTTCTCAAAGGATGCAGGCTGCTCACAGAGATATAATGTGAAGAAGTTTTTAGAAAATTAAAACTACATCAGTGAGAGAAAGGCCAGGAGAGTTCATTAACACTGAGATTTCATTTTTTTTCCCCATCACCTCAATGGACCTGCTCATTCTTTGAGGATATCAAGGGCTGTCTTAGAATTTCCTTGGGAAGCGTTACCCCATGTACCCCATCCCCCTTACTTGCCCTTTGGGGCAGACTTCTTTGTGGTCCTCAAACTCAGTACTTAAGAGCCCTTCAAAGATGCCCTTTGACATGGTTCATATCGAAGAGGGCAGACTTCTTCAGGGAAGGGGTGGAAAGATGGAAGCACCACTTTCAAGACTGTATAGGTCTAGATGGAGGATATCCCCAGGAACAATAACTTCACATTTTGATATTTTTGTTCAATGAAGGTTTATACTTTTATAGCAGTGTGTGTGTGTAAGAGAGAGTTTTATATAAAGGGTAATTGTACATTAAGAAAGCATCCCAACCCAGTCCAGTCCAAGCCCATAAGTCTGATATTAGCCTATATGTCCGATACCAATCTGTAAAGTTCTCTTCAGACTCACAAAACACATGCAGTAATGGTGAATGCAAGACGATCACTGGCCAGTGGGTAGAAAGTCTTTGGATTCAGTGGCGTTGGAAGCATCTCAGCGCTGGCAGGGGTCTCCATGTGGCTTCTCCAGCTCCCAGAGCAGCATCAGGGTAGGTCACGTGGCTGCTTCTCATAGATGTCTCGCAGGGAGTCAGCTTTGTTCTGCCTAAAGGAGGAAAAGCTATAGCAGTGTTTTTTTACTTACCCTCATTTGTTGGGGACTTTTTTTTCTTCTCAGTATACCCAATCTGACAATCCGGTGTCGTCTTTTAATTATTACATTTAGTCCTTTCACATTCAAGGTGATTGTTAGTATGCTTAGATTTACACTTACCATGGATGTTTTCTGTTCATTGCATTTGTCCCCCCTCCCCTTTTTTCTTTTAGATTTTCTGACTTTAAGTGAGCAGTTTACAAGACAATAAATATTTTCACCTCCTCGTAGCACATCAGTTATACTTCTTAACACGTTTTTAAGTGATTGCCCTAGAGTGTGCAATATACATTTTTAGCTAATCTAAATAAAGCCTCCAATAACCCTGTCATAGTTCATCATAGAGCATTCCAAGTGTCATCTTCTTGTCCTGTCTGACATTGCTGCCATTCATTATCCATATGCTAGCACCACTTACTATATTGTTACTTTATTTTTTTTACTTTGTTACTTTAAATAGATAAATCGAGATTAAATATAAGCTTTTATTTTACCTTCATTTACTCCTTTTCTGATGTTCTTCCATTCTTTATATTGACCCGGACTTTTTACTTTCATCATTTTTGTTCTCCCCAAAGAACTTAATTTGTATGTTTTTTTCATAGCAAGTCTGCTAAGAATGAATTCCCTCCGTTTTTGCTAGCCTGAGGATGTCCTGGTTTCTTGTACATTTGCTTGGCATAGTGACTTGAGTTTTGTTTTGTTTTCTACAAATTACCCGTCTGATCATTTCGACACCTGCATCGTCTCGGTGTCTGGTTGGGATGCTTGTCCTTTCTCTGCGGTCTGTGCTTTTCCTGCCTTTTCACATGCCTTTGTGGGCGTGCCTGGTGGCTACAAATGCTTGGCCCCTCGCCGATAGGTACCGCAGAAATAAAGCCTGGCCATCTGCCTCCAAAAAGACAAACTCACAGCCATTGAAAGCCCTGTGGAGTGCAGTTCTACCTTGCACTGCGTGGAGTCGCCGTGATTCGGAATTGGCTTGATGGCCACTGGCTGGACATGGCCTGTACGTGTTGTTGGAAGTTAGATGTGATTTACCAGATAACCTATAGGAACTGGTGGGGAGGAGGGGCTCCCCACTCTGCTCTGGCTCTCACCTCCAGAAATCCTCGTCCACACTCAACCGCCCATAACTCATCCAAAATAAGCAGGCATGTGCTTTCCCCAGCTACGCTCCAGTGGCTTCTGCTCAGGTGAGCAGATCTGGGCTGGGACTCTGGATTCACCTGTTTCACCAGGCTTAGGAGAACTCAGGTTCGCCCTGTGATTTGAGTTCTACACTGGGTCCAAGAAAAGTGGTTGTTTTTTCCATTTGTCCTGTGCCACCTTGTAAGGCTTAGCTTTTCCTAGGGCAGAGCTGAAACCCAAACCCCTTCCTGTGCTCCACTGTCATGCTTAGTCATTGGCCGGGCCAGCCCTTGCGGTCAGAGAGCTGGGAGGCACGCTCACTCGTAACCCCCAAGCCTGTGTCGTGGTTATATAACACACAGGAAAAATGTAATGCAGTCAATCTCCCTTCTGGGTAGCTCCATCAGTATTGTCATCAAGAGCACAGGAAACTGAGGCTCGGTGATAACAAGCAACTTGCCCGAGGTCTCACAATAGAGGTGACAGGTTGGTGTGATTGGACACCAAGCCCATCACTTGCCGAGGCTTGCCTGTGGGCTTAGCAGGTGGCGAGGATGTGTGCCAAAGGGCTTGCGTAGCTTGTTCTGGTGGATCACAGTGCTAGGGTGAGCTGGTGCCGGGGAGGGCAAAGGCCTGGTGTGTGGTGTTCACAGATGGACCGTGGGAAGCTGGTGTACCACAGAAGTGTCTTATGCTGTGGAAAGACTTGGTTACAGCCCGCAGCTCCCAAGCGAAAAGTCGGTTCAAAATCACCAGGCGTTCTCTGGAGGAAACTGATGATCGGAAACCCCATGAGGCGGCGGTTCCATTTGGGTCATGCATGCCGAGTTGGAATGAACCCGGCAGTGGGGTTGGGTTTCAGTTGCTAATCCGTTGCCCACGGTAACTCGATAGACTCTGAATAATCATAACCATGAATGACGGGACTCTGCCTGCCGTCTCGGCCCGTGGCTCCCATTGTGGCAGGAGCTCTCTTCACTTTGCCGGCGATGTCCTGGAAATAACGGGAGTTTTTCATTTTTATAAAATCCCATTTCTTCTGGATTGTGATAAAGAGATGTTCGAGCCCGAATGAAAAATCCCATTTCTGTTTCCTGGTGTGGCTTGTGCTTTGGTGCACAGCTTTGAGATCTGGATATCTGTTTCATGTTGATATGGTTGCAGTGTTTCCTTGTTTCTAGGTATTCCAGCACAATTTGAATCGCATTAGAGTTATTTGGGGTTTTTAATTTTGGGTTTTTAGAAATTTGGGAGAATTTCCCAGTGGAGCTCTTTGGGCCCTGGTGACTTTCAGGGGCTGGAGGGAGGCATCTAGCACCAGTGTTCTTTCTCAGGAGGGGTGAGGGGTTCCCTGCTTGGCTTTTCTTAACTGTAGTATTGTAGCGCTTCAAATATCGAAGAGTGGGCTTCGTTACTGAGTGCTGTTGAGTCAAGTGTAGTGACGGAGCAGAGTGGCCCCACAGGGAAGCTGGTGGCCAGGGCTCTCTCCCACCTAGCCACTGCCAGAGTTGAACCCGCCAACCTCTGGCTCTCCTTATAGGACCGTCGGTGGTGTGCATGTCCAGAAGGATGAGCTGACGGTCACTTCTCCCGTCCTGATGTGGATCCAGGTAAGTGCAGGGATTCCTCTCTCCCGACTTGAATGGCAGCTGGGCTAAGTTGCTAGGAGACCCAGAGGGCACCTTGCTCATGGGGGATTCCAATCCCAGATGGATAGAGGGGTGAGGAGGAAGGTGGGATAAATAGCCACCCACGGTCTCCACCTACTCCCTGCCAACAATTCAACCACAGACTCCAGGGAGTTCATCCCAGAGCCCCCACTCTGAGGGGCCCCTCCACCTTCTGGAAAGTCTCTTTTGCAATGAAGTTCCATCATTAAAATAACCCAGCACAGGAGCATCTTGTTCTGGCTTGTTCTGAGTTCTCAGGTTACCAGGGGAGAGAAATTTGGACTATTCGTGGTTGGACTTCTGCTCATTTAGAACAATTTTGGCATAGTTGATTTTTTTTGTTTGACTTGATAAATTAGTTCGTTCTCGGGTTTAAAAACGATCCTGCCTCCTAAGTACCTTCAGCAGCTTCTCCAGAGCCCTCTCTCTCGTGACGGCTGCTGCATTTCTGGTGTCTGCCAACACGCGTGGTTATGACCGTCTTCACGGATGTTTGTGTTTCTTCCCAGGCTCTGGATAGGCTGTTGGAGAACATGAAGGAAGACTGTTTTAACTTCGCTTCACTCCTCGCCGTGTCCGGGGCAGGCCAGGTGCGTTTCTGGCGCCGTCTCCTGCTGGCCAAGGGCGGTGGTGTGGGTGTCGAGTGAGGGGGGCAGGCCCTCGTCCTCCCCGGGTGGGCACGTTCTGCCATCCGGGAAAAGCACTGCTGCTGCTGTGCCTCGGAGGACGAACCCCTGGCCTCCTTCCAGAAGGGTCTGAGACTGTTCTTTGCGGGTTCAGCACTGTGAAGAGTAGGACACTTGGTGAGGGGGACGGAATGGAGGTTCTCTGTACACGTGGTGGTGGTGGTGTGAGTCAGCAAAGAAGGACAATGGGGGTGGGGGGGGAGATGCTGCTGCACCTCCTCGCAGGCAAGAGACCAGCCTTGGATTTGCAGCCCGTGCACCTCACGGACAGCTACCGTGTGCCTCTCAGTGGGGTCTTGTATGTAGCGATGACGCTGAGAAGGCCTCACAGTAGAGCTTCCAGCCTAAGATGGACAAGGCGGATCAGCCTGGGCATCTGTTCTGAAAAATCAGCCGGTGATAACCCTCTGAATGACAGCGTGCTGTTGGGTACGACACAGCTTCTTGCCCTCTCTACTCAGGACCCCCTTTCGCTCGAGAACTTTGCCACATGGGCAGGCACTGCCATAAACACCTGGGATCGATTACCCGTTTGATTTTGAATTAGTTTTTGGTTGTTGCATGTTCAGAAACTTTTGACTGTTGCCAAACCTCTTTGTGACCCCCACGTTCCATCATGACTCAGTTTCAGAAGTGTTGGTGTCAGCGGTCCCTGTGAGCTGGCTGTTATCTGGATGGCAGCTAATTAGAACAAAAGGCATGGGGGAAGCATCTGATAGAAATTCATCAGGACTCTCGCTGTGGGTATTAACATGACCTTTCTGTTTCTTGGCCATAAAAGCAAAGAACAGCACACCAAATAATATACTGTTTTGGTAGTAGAAATTGTAGTCATAATCATAGTAGGAAGAACATTGATGAGACACTTCACATACACTAGCTAACTTGGTCCTTAAAACCCTGATTAGCACAAGGGTTCTGGGAAGACCGTCTAGGCTGCATCCCTGACGCTGCCCTTGATAAACTTAGAAACTCCCCCCACCCCAGGGGTGTCACACAGCCTTTTCCATGTGCCAGAGACTGCCGGGAGTCTCAGGGAAGAGCAGTGCCTAGCCACTATTCACGTTTCCCGCCTGCTGTTTGTATCATCATTGCCAATGACACAGAGAAACCAAGGCCCAGGTAGGCAGTGTCCCCTGCCCAGGGTCACATAAGCGATGCAAAGTAGAGCCATCACCCAGCCATCTGGTCCCAGGATCACTTCGCTGTGGTGGAATCGCTTCACACCACACCTAGTCACATTGTGTTCACATCTCCCTTAGAGAGCAGTTGTAGTTTCTCCCTTTTCCTGATCCGGGACTAGTTTGTTGTTCTGGTCCTTGTGCGTGTTTCCTTGTCCACTGCTCTCATCGAACCTGGGGCCTGGATGCCTCTGCCCGGTAGGCACCATCTGGACCCTTCCCCAGGTCTCCCCAGAGTGCTCCTCTCCCATAGGCCTTTTCTCCTTTGGGAAGAAGAGGATTTTCAGGGGATTGTCCCTGTCTACCCAGGACCACAGCCTGACTGTCATCCAGTCCCCATATCCTATGGATTCCTGCATGTCTCCCATCCAAGTACTAACCAGGCCCAACCCTGCTTAGCTTCCGAGATGAGAGCACATTCGGAGTATGGCCGTAGATGGATTTCTGCATGCCTCCTGATGTTTCCCTCCCTCCCTGGCCTCAGCCTCTGTTCCCCAGCCCCAGGATCATTGTTCTCTGAGCCTCCGCCCCAGCCTGTCTTCCATGGTGCCCACCTCACTCCCTGCTCACCCAGGGCACTCATCACCTCCAAGAGAAACCCCAGCTCCTGAGAATAGGTCTAGAGGTACAGGGTGTATGGGCAGCCATCTGCTCCTGTAGTCTTAACCCTCCTCGCTCCACCCCCGGCTCACTGCTCAGAATGTCTCCTTGCTGCCAGGCCCTGACCTCTGAGCACCGTCTGCACAGAGCATCCTCTACCCAACTCAGGGGCCCATCTACCTGTTTGCATCTGGGCCCTTCTCTGTGCCTCACAACTTTGGCCCTGCAGCTCCACGGGGTTTTGTAGTGACGTGTTTGTGTCTTTCTGTGGCCAGACCCCAGTGTCCTCAAAAATTACTGTCTGCTGTCCTCCAGTCCTGGTGGCATGGTGGATTATACACTGGGCGGCTGACCAACTGCTCCATAGAACGATGAGGCTGTGTGCCCTCATTAGGGTGTGCAGCATCAGCCACCAGCAGGGGCTGTTTTCCTCCGTCCTGCAGGGTCACTCTGAGTCAGAATTGACTGCATGGCAGTGAGTTTTGTTTCTGGGGTGGGGGGTGCCCTGGAGTAGGCACCGGAGTCACGGCAACCCCATGCACAAAGAAAGGAAACTGCCTACCATGCTCACCGTCAGCTAGGGATCAGTCATGATAGGATCCCCGGAGGCTTCAGTTGCCGATTTGGGGGAAGTAGATCGATCTTTCTTCCTAGTTTATCTTAGTTTGGTATCTCCACTGAAACTTGTTCAGCATCCCAGCGTGGGTGAGGATTCCACCCTTGACTCCCCGATGTGCCCCCTAACAGCTCATTTGTCTCCACATTACTCTGACTCGCATGGCCTAGCTGCTCACTAAATGTTTGTTTGATGAGTGAGTGGATTTCAGGTAATGCAGCAAGCAGTATAGTCACATAACAATTTTACAAAGGGCACCCGAAGTCTAGAGAAATGACTGTTCGATCTTTCCCACACCTAGTTAAGGGGGTGGGGTAGGATTCCTCCCCTCTGACAGGCCTTAGGACCGAATTTTGGGTGGGCAATGAGCTCTGAGATGAAGGCAGGGGCAGGCTTGAAGCCCAGCCCCTTGGCGTGTGGCCTTGGGGAGGGCTCGCTCTCAGTGTGGTTGCTTGACCGAGTGTTTGCGTTTCCTTTTGGCAGCAACATGGAAGCGTGTACTGGAAGGCGGGGGCCAGCCAGGCCCTGGCCAACCTGTCGCCGGACCTGCCATTACACGAGCAGCTAAAGGTAACTAAGCCCGGCTGCAGAGGATGTATCTGCAGTGAGGCGAAGGAGTCTTCCTGGGTGTGAGAAGGTCGTGTCCCCAGTCCCTTGAGCCTGCTCCACTCTGCCTCCCACGAGAGTATCTGGACAGGGGTTGTGTGCCCATCCTCATCCCGTGGGCCCCTAGTTCCCAGGACCACTCTAGGTCACTTCACCTGGGGGGGTGTCCTTTCCTTGGGGCATGATGCCTCATGGTAGGGGCCCCCGGCGCCTCTTGTCTGCCTGGGTCCAAACCCAGGGAGCCTGCACAGGGCGGCAGCCACAGCCCTCCCGGGCCCCACTTCTGCACCCCTCCCAGTGCTCCCACCCCCGGGTCAGAAGCACCTTCCTCCCTCGCCCTCTCTGCACAGGGACGTGGGGCCAGGCGGAGCCTGGGGACAAAGGTGTGTCCACAGCTGCATGCCCTCTTCGCTGGGTGGGGGGCCCCCCGGAGTTGGCCGCAGAGCTCAGCCCGAGCCTGTCGTTCTTCTTTGCAGGCCTGTTTCTCCCTCTGCGACTCCCCGGTGTGGATGGACTCCAGCACCACGCCCCAGTGCCGCCAGCTCGAGGCCACTGTCGGCGGGGCGCAGGCACTCAGCTGCCTCACGGGGTCCCGCGCCTATGAGGTGGGCAGCAGCTGGGATGGGATGGGGGCTGGCAGTGGTCCCACCCCCGGGTGTCTGGAAGCACAGAGATGGGCACCCTGTCTGGGGGGAGGGGGATCCCCACCCAGGCTGTGGGGCCAGGCCTGAGCACTCTGGGCCCGGACTCTGCCAAGGGCACCCTGGCTCCCTGTGCTAACGGAGGAGCAAGGGCAGGCCACCTCTCCGTGTGTCCCCAGGCCCAAGCTGAGGGGTGAACATGATGAGGGGACAATGGGAAGTGGGTGGCCTCCTCTGTCAACTGGGGTAGAAATAGGACTTGCATTTGGGGTTCAGTAGAAGCTGAAGGGAGTCAGTACCTGGAAGACCTTAATGCAGTGTCTGGCAGAGGGGGCAGGGATAAAAAGGATGTCTCCTTCCAGCTAGCCTCGGCCCAATCCCACAAGTCGATCTGACCGCTGGTCACGGTGTGTAGGTCATAGCAGGCTTCGGTGTGGGCTTTCGGTGGCTACTTTTTCCAAAGGAGATCAACAGCCCTTTCTTCTGAACTGCCTCTGGATGGACTCAAATCTCCAACCTTCCCGTTAGCAGCTGAGCATGTGAACTGTTGGCCCCACCACAGTCTGCCTACCCTACTTGCACCAGCTGAGATAAGAAAATGTGAATGGGGAAAGTATCCAACTCTCCTGACTCTTGAACCCATGGTCAGGGGAGTTAGCATCCTGGGTAAAGAGGTGAGTTAGTCACTCAAAATCCCCAGTCCTGACCCGTGAGCAGCCCTCCTGGGAAAGCCACTCCGGTATCCCACAGCCTGTGTGTGCGTGGGGTTTGTTCCTGCCGGAGCACCTCATTACTCAGAGCAAGAATCAAGGGCCAAATGCCCATGGTCGGTGGTGCTCAGCAGATGTCAAACGGGTTTCATATCTGCGGCTTCTTCAAAGCCTGTAGTGTCCAGAGTGTACCACACTAGACTCACTTTCCCGAGTTAATCGTGTGCTCTGTGCAGGGTTTGGGTTTCTAAGAGTCTGCACTTCTCTTCCAGCGCTTTACTGGAAACCAGATAGCAAAGGTCTATCAGCAGAACCCTGTGGCCTACTCACAGACGGAGGTAGGTCACAGTTTCTGTATGGGTGTGCTTCACTGGGGCGAAGACACAAGCAGCTAAACTCACGTTTCACTGGGGCAAAGATACATGTAACTAAACCTATGCTTCACTGTAGCAAGGATACATGTAACTAAACCTGTGTTTCCCTGGGCAGAGATACACGTAACTCAACTTATGCGTCACTGTGACAAAGGTACACGTAACTAAACTTGTTTCACTGTGGCAAAGATACAGGTAACTAAACCTGTGTTTCACTGGGGCAAAGATACACATAACTAAATTTATGCTTCACTGTGGCAGAGACCCAGGTCTGTAAACTTAGGCTAGTTCCACAGCGTTGACACACAGTGGCATGGCTTCACAAGCATATTCACCTTGCTTTTTTTTTTGCTTTCTTTTTCCTCTCATTGGTGCATTTCCAAAGAGAAGGAAGAATGAAATGTTGGGAAAGGGAACTCAGGCTCTCGGGGCAGATGAGGTGGGGGCAGTGTGCATCGAGGTAGGACCAGTATTGCCTCTCCCTAGGATGGCTGTGCCCACTCAGCGTCCTGCACTGTGAATGCAGGGTGCCCATTGTGCACTTGACTGGCACAGTCAGTGTTTTCTCTGGAGATGTGTGAAGCTGGACCTTGACCCCAGGTGGACCCCTCTCTGGCTAGTGATTTTCATCTCTGGGTAATTCAAAGTGATCAGCTCCTTTGAACCCAATGTGGCGTTGTTAAATCTTAGAGATTCGCATCCAGTTTATTTTCTAATTAGTGAGGTTACACGTGACTCCGTAGCATTAGCCATCACTGTAGGCTTCGGGTGGGGGATGAAAAACTCCCCCACATAGCCTGGATTTGCAGGTGGAAGGAGATTGCCTTCTTTCTGTTTGTCCGAGAGCCTGTGCTGTCATGGGGCAGCAGAGAGCTCCCAGGCTGACATTCCAAATTCAGTGCAGCTCCTTCTAGAGCAGCGGTTCTCAACCTGTGGGTCACGACTCTTTTGGGGGTCGAATGACCCTTTCACAGGGGTCGCCCGATCTATAACAGTAGCAAAATGACAGTTATGAAGTAGCAACGAAAAAAATTTTGTGCTTGGGGGGGTCACCCCAACATGAGGAATTACATTAAAGGGTCACGGCATTAGGAAGGTTGAGAACCTCTGTTCGAGAGGGTCAGCGAGAATGAGGACCCTCAACAGAAAGGATTGGCACAATAGCTACCATGATGGATGCAGACATACCAAGGCTTACGAGGCGGGCACGAGGCTGGGCGGTTCATTCGGTGATGCCCAAGCCGAAGCCATCTGGACAGCAGCCTCGCACCAGCCTCACCCCAGTTCCTGCTTAGAGTCTGTGTCTTCCCAGGGCCCGCCCTCCCTTGTCCTTCCTGGGACTCCTTCCCCGCCCAGGTGCCTCTGTTAGTTCTGAGCCTCGTGACCAACGCTTCCCAGTGCACAGGTGCAAGAGCCAGGAAAAGAGAAGGTGGGCACTGGGGTACCATAATCCCCGGCATTTGAGTTCCTGATAGAAAATCCGCTTCCTGAAGTATGGTGTCTTCACCGGGCTTTTTGTTTGGGGCTATTTTAGAAGTTCAGAGAGTGAAGTACTGACCTGAGGGGTCAGTTCTTGGAGAGTCCAGTGACTGTGTGTGTGTCCGTGCCACTCCGTGACATGGATGGCATTCTTCAGAATATGCAAGCATTCTCACCGCCATTGACTTCTACTCACTGCCGCCCAAGCTTGTCGTCCCACCTTTCCAGTGGCTGTTGTCCCCCTAAAGCCCCACAGAGCTTTCTCCAATGGGGACCAGTGCTAGAAAGACCAGTGAGGAGTCTGCGAATGTCTTGCAACATGGATGAATCGGGGCCCCATTATGCTGAGGCAAATAGGCCAGTCCCCAAAGGGCAAATCCTACAGGGGCCCACCCCACCCATGCTAAAAAGTTAAGAAGCGATAAACACATAGAAAGAAACATTTTTGGATGGTTGCCAGGGCCAGGTGGGGAAGTGAGAAGCAATCACGTTCAAGATGGTAAACTTGTTGTTTTGGGTGATGGGCAAGTCCACACCCAAGCTACCCTCACCTGTATCTTGCCCAAGGTAAGTGACATCCAAAAGTACACCAGAGAAAGGGACAGCTTCAGTCGACGCTATAGCATACACACTTTGGCAACAACGGTCATAACAGCCAGAAAAAATCTGTGTGTGGTTACATAGGCACAAGTGTGTGCATGCGTATACCAGGGGGCTTGAAAAAGTTCATGTAAGGCGTGCATGTGTAGGTGTATCTGTAGCCATGTCTTTGAGGGTAAGTAAAAAAATGTATTGCTACTAGGGTTCCTGTTGATATATGCATGTGGTTATTCTAAACTAAATGTGTTGAGCGCATCTCTGTAGTCGGTAGGTGCCTGCAGACGAGTTCTGTCACCCATGGTATTAGTTTTCAGCTTATTAGGGTGCCGTCAGAGAAAGGTCCAATTACAACAAGGGCTTCCCAGGGGATCTTTTGGGTCAGTTCAGTTCAAAAGAGGTCAGCTCAGAAGGTTACGGTGACTTCCCCCCCCCCAGGGGGTCATTGTGCACAGGGTGGAGATCCCCAAGGGGTCACCTTGATAGATTTTTCTCAAAGGACATAGGTGATCATTGGGGTGTGTGCTGAAGACATTTTTAAGAAAGGGAAGAACTATACTGAGGAGGAAAAGGGCAGGAAAGTGACACTGGGGACTGACTTTATTTATTTATTTATTTTCCTGACTGGGCACTTAGCTGCTTTCTTTGAGGGTAGCCAGGGCCGACCTCGGAGCATTTCATGGGGAAAGCTCCCCCTAGCTACCCAACAGTCATGACTTTATCCCTCCAGACTCCCTTTTGGCTCCCCAAACTCAAAGACCGTTTTCAGAGGAACACAAGTTGAGTGCCTTGAGGAAGGGAGGCTTGATGCACGGAAGCAAAGCCAACAGAATGGAAAACCTGAGCCATCGACATAGCAGGAGAACTGCAGCCAGTGTCTGTCATGGAGCAGTTCGTATGCAAACAGGTCCATGGGAGCCTGGCCCGCTGGGTACACTGTGCCTGAAAACATAAGACGTTCTTTTTTTAATCAACAATAAAGGCACCATGTATTTACTGATCTAATAGTAACTCCCCCACACACACACACACACACAAAAATCAATTTTGAAGGCAGACATCTATTCTTGATGAGCATAAATGGATTTTTTGGTTCAAAGAAGACTTCAGAAGATCGTTTGGGTTGAACGTCTAAAGATGATCTCAAGACAGCAATTTTAATCCAGTTGATGGTTCCAGAGAGCCTGGATTCCATGGAGAATTTGAAATTCTGTTTCGAGTTCTTCACCCCTTTGATCAGGACTCTTCTAGAGAGATTCCATGTAGTACTCTTAATTGGGGCGTTCAGTCTTCTCCGTTACACTAAGCTTCCATGTCCCCACCCAGTTTAAATGCCATGTGCGTGCAAGGAATATTCAGTTGCTTAGAGTGTAGAAGTAAGCCCTGCCTCACTGCTTCTTTCTCTTACAGAGGATTTCTTTGGTCAGTAGCTTCGCGGCTTCCTTGTTCCTCGGGGCCTACGCCCCTATTGACTACAGCGATGGTACGTCTTCGGAGGCCTGTTGTCAGCCTGTTCGGTGGGTAGGCAGCCTGTGGGCATGCAGGCAGTGTGAGCTTCATCCAGCCCAGACAGGTGCCAACCTTTTATCCTATCATCTACTGCCAATCAGGGAATGCAGTCCGTCTCTTTTGCTGCCCAATCCAGTATCCCACATTTAATAGCTGAGGATGACAAACATTTATTCTCACATAGTTCTGAGGGCCAGGCCTCCCAGAGTGACATCACCGGCTAGCTCTGGCTCAGAGGCTCTCGTGAGGTTGTTGTCCGGCTGTTGGCTGGGGCTGGGGGCATCTGGAGGATCTGCTTCCAGGATCATTCGCTTGGCGTGGGTAGGAGGCATCAGTTCCTTGCCAGGCGGGCTGCCCCAGGTGTGCAGTGAGAAAGAGAGTGGCCACACCGAAGCTGCAGGATGCTTTGTAACCTAATCTCAGGTGTGAGGCACTCCCGCCTTCTTTTATCAGTCACATGGACCAATCCTGGAACAGTGTGGGGAGAAATCACACGCGTGTTAACACTAGGAGGTGGATCGGTGGTCACCGCCTTGGAGGTTGGTTACCCTAAGGTTACAGCTCATGAGCGTGTTGGCTTTAGTCAAAATCAAAATGCTGACACCCATGAACGCTAACCATGCCTGTGGGGAGTCCTGGGAAGCTGAGAGGAAGCTGCTGAAGGAACTCTTGGATCAGGTCAGAGCAGCGCTCGGCAAACTTTTGAGACGGAAGAGCCAATCCCGTCCCTCACAACAATTGAAAATTTGTCCAAGAGCCACAAGTATATCTTTACAAGCAAATGGACTCACCACTCTCTGGATCTTGGTTTTATTTCATCTTCAGTTTTGTGCTTCAGAGCCACCGTTATGTACCCAAACTGCTGCCTACAGCTTGGGAGCCGCAGTCGGCCGACCCCTGGTCTAGACCAAAAAGTATTTGGATAGAAGATAGGAGGAGAATTAAAAGCAAAACAAACCAAAACAGCCCTGACTGCCATCAAGTGGATTCTGACCCACAGCAACCCTATAGGACAGTAGAACTGCCCCATGGGTTTCCAAGACCATGAATCTCTGTTGGGGTAGAAAGCCTCATCTTTAGCTTGCGGAGAATAGTGTCAAGCAGGAACGCAGACTCAGGAACAGGGCTCCCTCATGGGAATCCCTCCAAAGTCCTTTGCCTGCTGATGTGAGCCCGACAGGATCTAGTTTGCAGGGAGGAAAAGGAGGTGTGATTGAGGCTTGGTCCCGAAGCTTCCCACTCTATCTAGAGAATGCCGGGGTCCAGTGGCTTCTCCATTAGCTCACACCGGGAGGCCCCCCCAGTCTGCAACAGCCTGAGTCCCAAAGAGCGCGCTCCACATAGATATGGGAGGGGAGAAAATTGCACCACTGCCCCACCGGTCCTCCAGGGATTCATGTTCCTCCACTTCAGCCACGAAGTCTTCTAGCTTCCCAGCTGCCTCTCTGCTTCACCGGGATTCCGATGGCATCATCAGTGCCTCCATCTTCCCCCCCCCCCCCTCTCTGGGCGCTGGCCTTGCTCCCTTTCTCATGCTCAGGAAGTCCTGGGAGGGTCTCGAGCTCTGATTTCAGTAACGAGCATGAGGGTGTGGGGCTTCTGACCGAGCCTTCCTGGGAAAGTTAGATGTGACCAGGAAGTTCTCAAAGGCTGGCCCCACTCAGTGCCAGGGCTGCCTCTGAGTAGACCCTTCGAACCACAGGCTCAAACGACTGGTAGCCCCCCTCTCTGGGCAGAACTTAGAGCAGCAGCTGTCGGGGCTCACTGTGATGTTGGAGTGTGAGGGATAGGGGGTGGGGGTAGGGAGGGGCACCACGTGTTCCTATGGTTCTTGGGTTTCAGGAGGATGCGGCATGCTGCCAACTTTCCGTTAGGGAAGAGTTCCCAGTGCAGCTTTACTGTGAGCAATTAACCCGCCTTCTGTCCTTCTATGAGATGATTCTGCTTTGTTTGTTTGTTTCCTCCCCTTCCTCAGGCTCCGGGATGAATTTGTTGCAGATACATGACAAAGTCTGGTCCCAGGCTTGTCTTAATGCCTGTGCCCCACATTTAGAGGAGAGGCTTGGACAGCCGGTGCCCTCGTGTTCAGTTGTGGTAGGTGCCTCTGCCAGGGACACGGCTCGTGTAAGAGCCCACTGTGACTGGGATGTCATGCAGTACACAGACACAGCCTTCAATGTACACACACAGGCACACGCACACAGGGTTTTCAGGCAAGGCTTTGGCACAGGTCAGATGAAAGGGTTAGGGTTCGTGTTTTGCCCAAGGTAGGTGCTTAGATGCAAATATAGATGACTGTCTGAGGGTCAGGGATCAAAGGAGGGCTTTGAAAAACTCCACTGGACATTTATTGGGGGGTCGGGGTAGGTGGGATCGAAGGCCTAATTTTCCGGGGAGTCCACACTTCAGGAAAACATTGCATGGACTACTGAAATTCTCATCCAGGGACTACTTAGGAAGTTCAGAGCGGGCAGTCGTGGGAAAAAGAAAGAAAACCTGAGCATGGTAGCCTGCAATGGTTAAGAGATGCCAGGTGGCCTGGGACCAAAGCCCAGTTCTTCCACTGGCCAGGTTTAGGGCTTTGAGCCTTATCTGGAGCAGTGGCCACAACACAGCCCACCTTGTAGGATTGTGCTGTGGTTTAAGTGATTGTGTTTGTTTTAAAGTATTGAACAATACAGAGAGAGAGCCCCTTCAGAGTAGACGCTGGCTGCGAACGCCCGGATGTGATCCTGGAGGCCCTGTGGAGTGGAGGAGCAGAGTGGGCCCTGGGCTGCCCTAGGGGCCCTCTGGTGGCCAGCACATGCACACAGCCAGGACATCAGTGTCGCGAGTGGAAGCCGGGGAGAGAGAGGGGACTTGGGAGAGCTGTTGTGCGTCCTCCCCAGTGGGGCCCCCAGAGACTTTTTTCCTACGATGAATGCCACCAAGAGGCTGACGATGACCTTTGGCAACTGAGAGGCAGCATCACAAAACTGTCCCACGCGAGCGGCACCCAAGTTTGCCACGAGCCAGGCGTGGTCACATGTGGGGCTGATTGAAGGCAGAGCCTCGTGGCAGCTATTTGGAAGGCAGCACCCAGAACGCATGCTCGTTTTTCTTCAGGGAGCTACTGGGAGAGGTGTTGTATCAGCCTCCCATTCTGCCCCCCACCTGTGTGGCTTCACCTGGGCAGGCATCACCTGGCAGCAGTCTGGCTGAGCGGCAGCCCCTGCTTTCACGTTCCACCCCAGCCCTCAGCACGCCACTTCTGCCGGGTCAGCCTGGAGGTGCAGGGAGGTCTGCTCACCCCCCAGGGTAGCCTTCATGCTTTGGGGGGTTGGGGCCGTCTCCCAGGTGGACGGTCCTAAGGGGCATTTTTGCACCCTCTCCCGACCTTTCCCATGGATTGGACCCAGCTTGCTCACAGCAGACATGAGGCTCTACCAGCCACTTGTTGGGTTGGCTCCCCCTAGCCCGCTGCCCCCCTTTTCCTGCTTCCCCTCCTCTGTTTCTTCTTCTCCTTCCTCCTCCTTCACCTCTCAAAAAACTCACTGCCAATTCTGACTCCCGGCGACCCTATAGCACAGGGTAAAACTGTCCCTTGTGGGTTTCTGAGATTGTCACTCTAAGGGAGTAGAAAACCTCTTCTCCCTCCTGTGGAGCGGCTGGCGGTTTCGAACTGCTGACCTTAAGGTTAGCAGCCCAGCGTGTAACACAGGAGAAAGCCCACCCAGATCAGGGTGACCCTCAGCATGAGGCGGTAATGTTCTTGTGATTAGGCTCCCAAACAGACCACCTGCGCACACACTCTCATCTGCAGCCCCGTTTTCTGAGGATGCTGAGACCAAGGCATTCCTGTCCCTGGGAAACATTCTAAGGCCGCTGAGACCAAGGCATTCCTGTCCCCGGGTCAATCTGAAATTTGGCTGAATGGTGCAGCATTTGTGTCTTAAACACCAGAAAATCCCATCATTTACTTTAAACTTGCATGGCTAAAGTCGAGTCAGGGAAAGAAAGAAAAAGTTTTGTGTTTATAACCAGGCTTTCTGAGGAACATGGATCCACTCCTAGAGTGTCGCTGCCCTTTGATCTCACAGCCTGACATGGAGGGGCCCTGACCACTGGTCCCTCTGGGGGAGCTTCCTCCCCACCCCCACTGCCTCTTGTGCTGGCTGGCTGGTGGCTTTAGCACTTGGATTTCTACACTAACGTGTTCCGGTGTCCACGGAGGAGTGGTGTGGGTAAGGTGTTACCTACTCCTGTGAGTTTGCTCACCAGTGGTGTGTAGTCTGTTGATTTGCAACTTACAAAACAGATGCAAGTTGAGGATTGGTTGGTTTTAGCTACCTTGAATCAGCGTGTGCGCACGCTTCCAGCTCTACTAAGGGCTTCTCTGGTGCTATCTTTTAAATAATTTTTCTGGGGGCTCTTATAGCTCTTGTAACAATCCGTATATCCATTTGTGTCCAGTACATTTGTACATATGTTACCATCATCCTTTTCAAAACATTTTCTTTCTACTTGAGCCCTTGGTATCAGCTCCTCATTTTTTCCCTCCCCTCCCCCACCCTTCCACCCTTGTGAACCCCTGATAACTTATAAATTATTATTTTCATATCGTACTCCAACCACTATCTCCCTTCACCCATGTTTCTGTTCATCCCCCTGGGGAGGGGGTGGTAGTTATATGTTGATCATTGTGAACTGTTCCCCTATTTTCTCCCCACTTTCCCCCACCCTGCTGGTATCGCGACTCTCATTATTGGGCCTAAAGGGTTTATCTGTGCTGGGATTCCCTGTGTTGAGAGCTCTCATCTGTACCAGTGCACATGCTCTGGTCTAGCGGATTTGTAAGATAGAATTGAGATCATGATGGTTTGGGGGGATGGCTGGAGAGGAAGCATTAAAGAACTAAAGGAATGTTGTGTGTTTAGTCTGTTTTCTCTGGTGTTTTCTGTGAGCTGGAGGATCAACCTGCTTTGGGATGGAGAGGGATGGGGCTGGAGGCTCCACCCTAGAGCTTTTAACCTCCGGGGTTCTGGACCCCGAAGCCTTGTGCGTGGCCTGAACTTCACACACCTGCTGGGGTAGGGACACTGCTGACTGGGGGTAGGTGGGAGTGCAGCCCCTCATGTGACCCCAGCTTCTCCGCAGGGAACCATCTCTCCATACTTCGTCCAGCGCTATGGATTCCACCCAGATTGCAAAGTGGTGGCCTTCACCGGGGACAACCCAGGTGAGTACCTGGGGCATCTCACTCTCCAGGGAGCGAGACTTGGTCCATGCTGGACATTCGAGAATCCCAGTCTGGCCCCTAGGTAAAGCTTTCCGGGGTGGGGCACCCTCCCTTCCTCCCTGGCCTGACACCTGACTCCTTATACCTGCCCCCACCTTGGCCATAGCTCTGCCCCCTGGAGCCTCTCAGTCCCACCAGGTGAAAATTGATCTGCGATTAAATGAAGCAGCTGTTCTCCCCTCCCTCCCAACCTGCCCCACTTCTGTCCAGAGTTGAACACCTTCCAGAGCTGAACACCTTCCTTCCTCCCCGACTTCCTCCTGACACAGGAGAGTCTCCCTCCGCCCCGTCATTTGCGCTATAGGTCTGAGGCGCCTTCCAGTGACCCTGAGACAGGTTTCAGCAGAGCCTACAGGTGGCGTGGGCTAAGAGAACAGGCCCAGGGTTCTTCCTATGAAAATCAGCTAAGGAAAACCCTGTGGCTCTCAACCACGGGGTCCCCAATTGATCCTGGGGATGGTGCAGGCCCTGGAAGCAGCCCATTCTGTTTTGCATGAGACTGCCCGTGGTTGGGGGCCAACAACTCCTGGCAGCTCTAAAAGTGCTGAGGTACATAGGTGAACAGGGTAGAGAGCACACTGTTTGGGGCCTCGTGTCTAAGTGTGTGTGTGGTGGGGGCGGGGCGGGGGCAGCGGGTACTGACAGTGAGCGTGACCACGGCCATCTCCTTTCCAAGAATCCCCTCATGCTCCTCCAGCCGCGGCCTTGTGTGCCTTGGTGCCGGGGTTCTCTGTGTTCCTGGGAACACCTGACCATGCATGCAGGGTTTGGACCTTTTTAGGGAGATTATCTCCCAGGCCAAATAAGAGGCGTTGGCCTCAGAGGGTCCACCCCCTAACCCCTGAGCCTCATCTCCCCACCCTGCTCTTCCCTAGAGGGTGGATTGGGTGGAACATGTGGTTGAGCTGCCCGCTGAGGGTGGCTGTGGTTTGCTTTTGACTCCTGCATGGCCTCTAGCTAACTGTTGGCTCCTCTTCCCTCTTCAGCATCTCTGGCAGGCATGCAGCTGAAGGAAGGAGACATTGCGGTGAGATTCCTTCTCTGAACCCCCGTTGGCAGAGCCAACGGTTTGTGCCCTGAGAGATGAGAGTGCCAGGTTTCAGCAGCAGGTTTGCTGCTTGACAGAGGGTCTGCCAGTCCCACAAAGCAGCAGAGGGAGGACCTAGGGGAGACCCAAGACCTGCCCACACCTCTTTTCTGGGAAAGTTACTGCCCTTTGCTAAATGGCCAATCTTGGGGACATGGCAGAAGGATCAGACAGGGGACATCCTTTGAATTTCCCGAGTGAGCACAGAGGAAATGGCCTGTGCCCTCTGGGTCCAGTGGGAAAGCCTGGGGGAGGGGGAGGCAGGCTTTAGGGGGAGGTTCTGCAGAGTCCACAGGTAGGCATCTACAGTGGGAGGGCCAGACGGGGTGTTGAGCCAAAGTTCTGGGATCAGGGTGGCAAACACAGGGTTCGTCCCTAATGAGGACCACCTGTGGGCCAAGATAGGCCGAGGGGCGGGGGCGCTGCCTGGCGTGCCTCACCTCTGCCCATCCCTCCCCAGGTCAGCCTTGGCACTAGCGACACCCTGTTTGTCTGGCTCCGGGAGCCCACACCCTCCCTGGAAGGCCACGTCTTCTGTAATCCGGTGGACCCCCAGCACTACATGGCACTCCTGTGGTAGGTGTGGGCAGGAGCATTGGGTCCACACCAGGTAGGCAGGAAGGAGGCACAGTCAGACCTAGCATGCCCTGGGGTAGCCGAGGCCCCAGGGACCCCTCAGCCCCAGCTGTCAGGAGAGCTGCACTGGGAAGATCCCAGAGCATGGTGTCCCCCGTCCCAGGTACAAACCCTGTCTCACCACCTGTATCCCACATGGCCCCCAGCAGGCCCCTCCGAGCTGAGCCCCACAGTCGAGCACAGAGAATCGATATTGACGTCCATGTTGGGACATCCAGCACGTGGGAGACTCCTTGGCAGAGGAGTGGGGTCATCTGCCTCTGGGCTGTTCGTGGAAGGGGCAGGCTCTGTACTCTGACCTCGGACCTGCAGGCACCGTTGGAAACCCCGAGGGAGAATTAAGTCCCCACCACCTACTACCACTGGTCAGCTTCAAGTCCATTCTGATCATAGGCAGATCAGAATAGAGCTGTGCTCCGTCAGGTGTCCAGGGCTGACTTTTCAGACATGGATCACCAGGCCTTTCTTCTGAAGCACCTCTGGGTAAACTTGAGATTTCAACCTTCCGGTTAGCAGTCTAGCACTGTAACCATGTGTTCCATCCAGGGACCGGTCAATCTAACCCACTGTGCCCTAGTGTACAAGTGGTGCCTTGTGCAGACACCCCACCTACCTGTCTCCACCTGGGGCGTTTTGGCTTGGGGGAGAGGGGGCAGCCTTTTCCATATATAAAACCCAAGACAAGTATGTCAAGAATGTCTTTATGGGTCCTGGTACCTGAGGGGGCTTGGTTCAGGGCACTGGTCGCTATTGGCTGGAGGGCGTGGTCCAGCCCAGCCTGCAGCCCCTCTGCCGAATGCGTGGTTCCAGTCAACTCCCTCAGGACTGGTGCTGTGCTTCCGCAGTTTCAAAAACGGTTCCCTGATGAGGGAGAAGATCCGAGATGAGTTAGCGTCCTGCTCTTGGAACGAGTTCTCTAAAGCACTGCAGGCCACGGAGATGGGCAATGGCGGAAACCTGGGTAAGAGGTTCGGTGATGCCCAGCCAACAAAGGGCAGCTGCTGCTGGAGGAGCAGTGGCTAGTTTCCAGGGGCTGGGGAAGCCGAGGGCCCTCCCTGCCTATCTGGCTGCCTGTCTGCCCCTCAGGCCTTCCCACAGTATGGTAGAGCCCTCAGGATGCCCCCAGTGTAAATCAGGCCATGGCTGTGTCTTCTGTCCCCCTCAGAACCCCTGGTGACAGCACCAGAGATGGCAGTCACAACCCCTGCTGTATGCAGGGCATTCAAGTTCACAACCACGTAGGGGAACGTGCCTGGGGTCACAGGTGGGAAGGGGTGGGCCTCCCTTAGCCAAGAGCTGGCTGGTTTGGCGGGTATGAGGCAGCTGCTTTCTGGCCTGGGCGCCAATGGAGAATGAAAAGAGTTTACACAAAGAAAAGCTAACCTAGGCCTTTCCAGCCTGTCCCACCCACCCTCCAACCCCCCAACCATACTATCTGAAAGAACAGAGAGCATTGTGAGGCCTGAGGCCAGAGGGACCCTGGGGCCCAGGGACGTGGGGGTCCTTTCATCATGCTCTTCGCCAGCACTGTTGAGAAGCGGACCCCTGACGCCTGATGTCTGCCTGGCCTCGTTTCAGGTTTTTACTTTGATGTGATGGAGATCACCCCGGAAATCACCGGGCGGTACAGGTTTAATGCAGATGGTTATGAGGTACGTGCCACCGGTGCTGACTGGGCTCTGTGTGTAAGCTATGAACGCAGTGATCTTCCATCAAGCTACATTGAGCTATCAGGCATCCCCATCTCGGCCCCCAGTAGTTGGATGCAACATTTCTGGGGGGCATTGTAGACAGCAGGATGCCAGACAGTTGCCCTCCACTGGAGCCCGGAGTCGGGAATTCACCCCCTGGGTCATCCTTTGAAAGATGACACACACATGGGACCGGACAGTGCGAGCCCCTCACTCTGCGTCCACCCTCTCCCGGACACAGGTCTCGGCCTTCCCCCGGGACGTGGAGATTCGTGCCCTGGTGGAAGGACAGTTCATGGCCAAGAGGATCCATGCTGAGCGCCTGGGCTACCGAGTCAGTAAGTGGGCTACTGGGCGGGTGGGTCTGGGTCTCTGGCCCTACCACACATTGTCTGCTTCGTGAAAGAGGGAGGTGGGGGGTTACTGATACTTACAGGCAGACGCTGACCAGGAGGCAGGTTCTTCCTGCTTCTCCGCTCTCCCCAGTAGCCAGATCTCCTGGTCATGAGCTATAGGATGTGGAGAAGTCTCTCTCTAACTCAGCACTACAAATCCCAAACTACATATCGCACACTCTGGACCCTGAGAAGATGGGAAGCTCAGTCAACTAGATGAGAAGGGTCTGGCCTGTGAGCCCAGGCAAGCCCCATCTGCAGCTGGGATGCTTGTGGGCACATTAGCTGGCAGTGGGGAAGCCTGGGGGCGTGGCAGGCACCTCTGTCAGAATCGGGGCTGCTTTGGAGAAAAGAGGGTAGAACCGGGGCCATGGGAAGGCAAACGGATGAAGGGGACTTCAAAGAACTTGAGCGGTAGAACCAGCAGCTGAAGGGGATCAGTGAGCCCCTTGATTGAGAGCGTTGGGTTGGACAGCCTGCAAGGAAGCTGACCAGAGAGTCCCATAGAGCTCTGGACAACCTGGGTTCTAAGTGGGATAAGTGCAGTGTGTTCTATGTCTTCGAACCAACCAAGTAAACAGATCCGATAAAAGTTAGCATCAGGTAAACCTAAAAGCCTGTTGGGCAGCCTCTGCTACAGCGGAGGATCCGCCTGCACCCAGCAGTCTGACTCCAAGGGACGTGTCCAGAAATGCATATGTGTTCTCCAGTGGTAGATACCAGAAAACACACAGGAGAATATACACCGGGATGAATCTGAGAAGCCTGTGCTTAACCGCCTTCACACTGGAAGCCATGCAATGCCTCTCTAAGTCAGCGGTTCTCAACCTGTGGGTCGAGACCCCTTTGGAGGTCAAATGACTCTTTCACAGGGGCCGCCTCATTCATCACAGTAGCAAAATGACAGTGATGAAGTAGCATCGAAAATAATTTTATGGTTGGGGGGTGGGGGACACCACAACACGAGGGAGTGTATGAAAGGGTCACGGCATGAGGAAGGTTGAGAACCACTGGTCTACGTGGACGGACTCAAGGCAGCGTGGTGTATTCAGACACTGGGAACCTGCCTCTTAGAAATGAGTCAGCTTCACAACTTCTATAACGCAGCGTGATGGGAGACAGGCCCTTGGGGTTGGGGTCGGTGTCGGTGTGCGTCAGACTCCCAGACAGACCTGCTGTTTGCTGTTGTTGGAAGTCAAGGTGGTTGTTACCCTTCGGGGGAGACTTGGGAGGGCACGTGGCTTCTGTCTCACGGGTGATACAGTTGTTTTGTTTGTCAGGCCAAAGGCTTAACTGTGGTGCATCTTTCAGGTTGTATGTTCTATATCAAAAAACATTTTAAGAAAAAAAATGAATACCTTGAGCTTTTCTATTTCCTTGGAGGTCTCCAGGGCCTTTCAAATTTCCCTGTGGATGTGACTGGGCGAGCAGGCCACAGAGGAGCTGTGAGTGGCGGCAGAGTGCCTGAGGGAGGGGCCCTTGTGCCGCCATCTGGAGGGGTGGCTGTGTGGGAGGCAGTGCCCAGGGTACAGGGAGAAGGGCGGAGAGGTCTCATGGGCTCAGGAGAGGCTAATGCGCTCTGTCACCATTCCCAGCCTCTAAAGCGTTTCTTGTGCAAAACAGTATAACGTTACTTATCCTCTTAGCAAGATTAAAAGCAGAATTAAGCTGGCTGTGCCAGCTCTGCTGGGTTTCTGTCGAGCAAGGTCACATCAGTGAACAAGCGTGGAACAGGACGGGGTGAAGGTGAGGCATCCTTGTCCCACCTGCAGCTGGTGTCACTAGCAAAGGCAGAAAAGCCCAGAAGCCAAGAGGAGGCGCCTCCTCTTGATGCTCTTCTGGACAATCTGTGTGCTGTGTTGCGTGTGCTCCACATCCTTGAACCGACCATCACCCCTGGGGAGACATGGGAGGGCACGTTCCCGGGTAACCTCTTCAAAAATAACATCGAAACAAGGTCACATTCATGGCTACCAGAGGTTAGGACTTCAACATACCTTTTGGGGGTGTCGGGTCACTTCAATCTACACCACCAGCCTGAAAGAGAATACTTCTAAATGTTTCTGTAATGAATGGTATTTGTTGTACGCGCTGGGCATAGGAGCTCTGTCAATGCAAGGACTTTCGATTTTGGTTTCTTGGGAGACTTACTATTACTGGTTTAGAGAGAGAGACACTCAGGGTGGATGGGGCAGTCTTACGCAGCAGCCTCACAAGCAGAAACTGTGAGGCAGGCCTGCATGCACACAAGCAAATCTTGGACCTCTTCCCGCCTTAGCCCACCACATACCACCTGCGGCTGAAGAGCTCTGGAAAAATTGCCCTTTCTGCCTCGGGGGAACAGCCACTGCCCTTTATTTGTGTCTTTCTCCCTTGCAGCACCTAGGACAAAGATTTTGGCCACCGGAGGCGCATCTCGTAACAGTGCCATCCTGCAGGTAAGTGCCAGTAGCCGAGCCGGCCTTGCACTGTGGCCTCATCCGCGTCATTCCCTTCTAGGAGCTGGGGACAAGGCAGGGTGGACAGTCTCCCTCTGGGCATGGGGAGCTCACCCTCTCCCAGGCAGACATCATAGACCATGGCAAACCCTCTGGCATCTGTTACCAGTGTTCACCTCGTCTCCAAGAGATCTCCTTTCCAGTGTAAACGTCTCTGACCTTCCCAGCCACCCCTCTTGTGACGACACAGTTGCCAAACTGCGGTGGTCACCAACGTTCTGTGCCTCCACAGTGGGAGGAAAATGCTGCCATGTAGGGAGATGACTGATACTCAGGCGGTCACATTGTGTGTGCGTGTGCGCACATTTTTGCATGGAGCCTGAGGCTGCCTGAATCTAGTTGACGAGCTGCATCACCTGCTGACGCACATGCCTGTCTTAGGCTCCTTAGAAGCAGAGCCTGCAGTTGGAATCCTCAGGAAGTGTCTGGAGAACGTGACCCCAGGATGAACGAGGGTGAAAGGTTCCAGACAGGTGTGTGGAAGAAGGATAAGGAAGGCCATGGTCGTGGCTGGAGATGCCCTGGGCAGCTCTGGTGGCACCACAAGGAGGAATGAGCTTAGCTTCCTGGGGGAGGTGGCTTCTGCTCAGCAGAGGACAGTTCTCTTAGGAGGGGCAGCTCGGAGCCATTAGCAGCTGAGTCTAGTACCCCAGTCCATCCAAGGGGCTCCAGACAGGGCATCCATGGCTTCTACTTTTCCAAGACCTCGAAGTCTTTTCCTGTTCATAATTTATATCTTTCCATGTCAGGGCCTAAATGGGACACCTCATCTTTATCCCTGTCAAACGTGCCCTTTTCCTTTGAGTTTGTTTGGACTTGTTAACGTTAGCCCGATACTGTCCCCAGTTGTAGGCCATTTACTGAGACATCGGATCCAGCGAGGACACCCTGTGGGGACGGCCTGGGGAGCCTCGGCCCTCTGTAGTGTATTTCCTAAGTGCTGTCTTGACCCAGTTCACCATCTCCTTCGTGGGCAGTTTAACGCCCCCAACCACTTCCCCAATCAGACGCTTAACCTTGTACGATACCACGCACATCCAACTGCCAGAGGAGCCTACATATCTGTCACCCCAGGGTTGGGGGGGGGCGGTCCCTTCTTATTTGTTGTGAGGCCCCTCAGAGCCTGTTGCAACGCAAAGCAGCCGGTGTGTGACCGGAAACACTGCCTGCTCCTGCACCACCGGGGCACAGTTCTTGTGTTTGGGCCCATTGTTGAAGCCACGGTGTCAGCCATCTCCCGCACGGCCGTCCTGTTTCTCTCTGACCCTCTACTTTACCAAGCACGGTGTTTGTTCCCCGGGGACAGTCTCTCCTGACTCTCTGACCCTCTACCAAGCACGGTGTTTGTTCCCCGGGGACAGTCTCTTCTGAGAACGACAGAGTCCCGGCCCTCTCACTTTAAGGAGAAGAGTTCTGGCTGTACTCCTTCCAAGACACATCCGATTGACCTCTCACATGCTTCTCCCAACACCTGCATTCAGAGGCGGCATTCCCTGGTCATCCTAACGCACTGCCCAGCCTCCTCATGGGTAGAAAGCCGGTCAAAAGGCCGCAGGAATTAGCCCTCAAAGCGATATCTTTGCTGTTTAACACTTTCAAGAGCCCTTTTCCCTGGGGTAGGTATGTTCTGATTTCTGGACTGCTGCGTCCACGGGTGTTCATTGTGGATATTTGGCTCTTCAGAATTGCTCCAAATACCCACCCCCTAGGAAGCCCTCCAAACCTAGCCACCTCACTCCGGTTGCCATCCATTAGCCACCTGCGATTACCCTGTCCCCTTGGCGGAGACTCTGTGTGGCCCCATGTGGCCACCTTCTCTCTGTGGAGCTGTAAGTAACAAAGCGCCCTGCCTTCCTCTGTCTGAGGTCCATTGTGCTGTGTCCTGCCATCGTGGGAACTTCACAGACATTACAGAACTCAGATGACACGTGTGGAACTCTTTTTAGAAGCGGTTAAACTATGGAAGTGTATGATACGTGAATATTTGATCAAGAAAACTACTTTTAAAAGAATGAGATTATATGCTAGTAGTTATAACCAGAATTAATACATTACTGGAGATTATCGCATACTTACTCTATAATAACATATACTGTATACTATAATATGAAATAACCATTACCTGAATAATATCCTCTAAAATACTTCAGTCTACTTCAGAGCCGCATATGACCCACGAGCCACCGTTCGCTGAGTTCGGGAACTTAAGCCCAGGACTCGGCAAAGTGTGGCTTACGCCTGGCAACCATGAACAGATGCTGCTTTTACTGTGAAAACAGTTTCTTGTCTTTGTTTTTAATTGCCCACTTTGGGAAACCCTGGGTGAGAAGTTCGACGGGGATTATTTGGGTGAAGAGAAAAAGTGTATACAACAAGAGAGATGGGGGAGAGTGAGCAGGGAATGATGGGCACAGCCAAACAGTGAGGGGGCTAGATGAGGTGTCCAATGTAAAACTGGTGATCTGCTCTGTGAACCTTCACTTAATTCATAACAAAATTTTGAGGGGGGAGTACCACTACAATGTATGGCATTATGTTTCTATCTAATTCTTAGTAATTATACATAAGCATAATATATACTATAATAAATACTGTGTGATTGCACTATATTAAAACCCCTGACTGCCACAAAGGCTGTGTGGAGGAGGAAATGGCTGGTGTGACTCTAGTCTTTGGGAAATCACTTGCTGTCCGTGCCTCCCTAGGTTTGCCTTCGGTTGATGAAGGTTTTCCCTTATTACCCTCGTTGTTTTGACTTTATAAGTAAATGTATACTTTATTATAAACTGAAGTAAAAAAAAACTATCCACTCAGGACCTCCCCCAAGTCATCCTGATGTGAAGATCAGCAGAGTGGTGGGAACCGGCAGCATGGCCGAGTGCACCCCTATTAAAGCAGGGGAGGGAGGGCAAGGGATGGGAAGATGTCTGAGAAAGGAAAGCCTGAAACATGCACGTGAAAATGTCTTCCTTCTGGGAATGACTTTGGGCAGTAAAACCACGCGTCTCCCCTGCAGGTGCTTGCAGACGTCTTTGGTGCCACGGTGTATGTCACAGACACCACCAACTCGGCCTGTGTGGGCGCTGCGTACCGAGCCTTTCACGGTAAGCTGCATCTGCAAGGGCCTGGGAGGCTGGCCGGACTGAGGCCAGGACTGGCCTCCTGCAGGCCAGACACAACCCTTATCCTCTGGACCTGTCTTCTCCACGGAACAGTGGGCAAGGGGAGGCAGCAACATAGGTGCAAGAAGGCTCAGCATGGGGCTTTTGGGAAAAGACTTGGGGATGCCCGGGGCGAGCCTCTGCACACCCGCAGGATGGGAGAGGTGGCTGAAGTCAGGAGCAGTGTTTTCAGCAAGAGTCGGAAGTTCAGACCCAAGCAGTCCAGGACCCTGGACAGCTCCACAGAAGGCCTGTGCTCCAGGGCTTCCCCACCCACAGCTGGGCTGCTAACCCGCAAGTCAGTCCGCAGTTGGAAGCTGTCAGCTGCCCTGTGGTACAGAGATGAGGAGTTACCGTCTTGGAAGCCCACAGAGGCAGTTCTCCTGCTCTGCCCAGGGGGTCTGGGTGAGTCAGAACGGAGGGCAGGTGGGTTGGCCTTTGAGGTTTTCCTGTTTGAGGGGAGCGCCTGAGGGAGGGGCACCTGCCCTCCAGCGCTTTCTTCCTCCTGCGCGGATCTGTTTGCCTGCTCAGGGGGCCCTCGGACCTCTCTGCACCTCAAGTTTTTCATCGTTTCCTTGAGTGGTTTACCACTCTGGACTTCTTAACCCATCTGCTTAAACAGGCATTTTTTCAACACTGGGAATGAATCGGTGAGCAATCCTTTTGGTTGTTGAATGAGCCTCTGATTGGTTTCTTCTCCGCCTTCCCCACATATACACCTCACTCCACCCTGTGCCGTCTGCCGTGCTAAGGCCATTTAGGGACTTTTCTTCCCGGCTGGCTATATTTTCCATTATATTTTACCTTATATTGCCTTCCATTTGTCTTAACCAAGAGTTTTTAAATCGGTTGTGGATTTTTTTTCTCCCCGCTCTTTCTTTTTTGGTGTGTGCCTAGGCTAGTTCTATTAAACTGTACCACCTCAATCAATTTTTAAGAAAGAATTTGGTAGATGCTAATTTTCTGAAGCCTTCTATACATCCAAGGAGGCCTGGTGTCGTAGTAGTTATACGTTTGGGCTGTGTTCCTAAAGGTCTGCAGTTCAAAACCAACATTTGCTCCAAAGGAGAAAGACAGATTTATACTCCCATAAAGATTTACATTATCGGAAACCCAAGTTCAACACCACCATTCACTCCACGGGAGAAAGACAGGGCTTCCTGCTCCCATAAAGAGTGACAGTGTCGGAAACCCACAGGTGTAGTTCTACGCTGCCCTCTGGGTGCTGTGAGTCGACATTGACCTTATGACAACAAGTTTGGTTTGGGTTTGAGTTATTTACGTCCAACAAAGTCTTTGTTTCACTCATCCCAGGAACGTTAGCTTGGGTGAGTAGACAACTCCCAAGTTCCAAGAACTATTCCTTAAGACTCTGAAAAACATACAGTCCTCATTCTTCTGTTGCTTCCCATTGCCTTCGTTGCTGATGAGAAGCCGGGTCCTCTTCTGACTCCTGAAAACACGAGAAAGAAGTTACCCTGTGGGAACTTCTCTGCCAGGCTGCACTGCGTTGTCAGTTGCATTCTTCCTGAGTCCTGGTGGCATAGGTGGTTAAGTGTTGGGCTACTCACTGCAAGGTCAGCAGTTCAAAACCACCAGCTGCTCTGTGGGTGAGACTTTCTAGTCCCATAAACCCGCAAAGGCCATTCTACTCTGACTTAACAGAGTCACTGTGGGTTGACTCAGTGCGTTGGGTTGGGTTGGGTCGGGTTTGACTTGCCCATTTGGTTGCTGAAGGTAAGCTGAGATATTGCCCTGCTCTGCCCTCCAAAACCAAAGCTGGCACACAATCCTAGCACACCAATCTCCACCTCGAGCATATGAGCTACCCTGCTTGGAGACCGCCTCTCACCAGTTGGTCCTGGAGTGGACATGAGTGGAGACGGGACCTTGATCTTATGAATGTCTCTGAAGGTCACCCACCACATCCTGTTTCCTTTGCGAATAGCTCAGAGCTGGTGTTGTCTAACCTTCTAACAGGAAAGCTGTCCTCACCTCTTCAGGTGCCAGTTTCTCTTCCCTCGTGGTGGTGCCCGGAGCTCGGTGTGGTTCTCCTGTCAGATATCACTGCTGACATTGCCAAGCAAGTCCACCCCTGTGCCAACCCTCCTTCCTTTCCAGCTGGCTCTTTCTCTCGGTCTGACGCGTGAGTCTGGCAGGCCGTGTGCCAGCACAGGGTCTGAAGTGACGATGGCTCACCGGCTCCTCACAGCCCCTGGCCGCGAGGTGCTTACTGCTCCACACGGAAGGGCCGTAGACAATCATACAGACAAGTCGGTGGACACAGACTGTCAGAAGGGCCCTAGGGAGAGGCAGGTGGTCCTTATGTGCTTAGGGCCGGGGCAGGGCCTCCTGGGTAGGGGATCTTTTTGCAGCGGCGCCTTTCAGGAGGCAAAGGGAATGGGGCTCAAGTGCTCTCCTGATGATGGTTAGACCCGGGTGCAGCCTGAATGGAAAGGAGACTGGAGAGGCCGGCATGGGGAGAGCAGCGAGGAGGGTGGCGGGCAAGCAGGCCGGCGCTGCCTCTCCCTCCCTCTGTTGTTGGGATGGGGTGCGCCAGCCTGACCTGCCTGCTGAGTCAAAGCCATTTCCACATGGAACAAGACAAATGGCCCTGCTGAAAGAGGCTGGGGGAGCCCTGGTGGCACCTATGGTTAAGCGTTCGGCTGCTCCTTGAAAGGCTAGTGGTTTTAATTCTGGCTGTGGGGGGTGCGGATAGAGGCCCTGGCAATCTGCCCCTGGGAGGACAACAGCGAGAAAACCTCCCCCTCTGGGCAGTCCTGCTCCATCACCCGGCTCATCACCAGTGGAAACCAACTCGATGGTCCCTCAAAACGAAGAGGTCCTGCACTTGCATGCGTCCCCCTCCCTTGCGGTGCCCACCTTTCCTGAGGTGGAATGGATGTGACCAGTGGGGGGTACCTACTTCTAGCACATTGCCTGGCGATGGTTTGCCAGTACACCGAGTGGTGCTGCCTTCCCCACACTCCCCTCCGACCAGCAACCAGCATTGCTGGTCATGTCCTCATGACCGCCCCGTGCCTGCCTCCCTCGCTCGCTCCCTCCCTCTCTCCCTCCCTTCCTCCTGAGCCGCAGTGAGACGACAGGAGCTTTCTTCTCTCCTAGGCACCTTCGGAGCAGATGTGCCCTTCTCAGAGGTGGTGAGGTTTGCCCCACGTCCCAAATTGGCTGCCACCCCAAACCCGGGTGCTGCTCAGGTGAGAGACCAGAAGGATTTGCTCTAAGCATTTGCATCGTGAAGGCCGGCCAGGCTCTTTCTTTGTTTTCAAAAGGGTGAGTGTCCCTAGGTGGCCTACGTGAAGGTGGAGGTGCCCCACCTCTCCCGGAGGCCGCTGGGGCAGCCCAGGGCTCTCGCTCAGCCGCATCGCCGGGTGGTGCAGGTTGGGCCCTTCCTGTTCACCAGGTGACAGGAGCCACTCGGAGAACCCATTGCTGAAGCAAAGGGGCTGCCAGCTGTCTGGCATGCAGGCCTCACCTGGATCCCATCTGCCTGTGCAGTGGCCAGACCAGGAAGTCCCTATGGTAGTAGACCCATTTGTCACTGGTGATGCTCCCTGGAAAGCGCATCCTGACCTATTTGGATGGGGGGGTGGGGTGGTTGATTGCGGGGGCACTTGTGGAAGGCAAGAGAAAGAAGAAGGAGATCTTAAGCCACAGTGCAATCTCAATGGAGCCTTCAGCCAATCCAGAAGCTAAGTTTTACCCAGTTGGGGCACAGGGGCCAGGTCTTTATACTTCAACTCAGGGGTCCTCAAACTTTTTAAACGGGACCAGTTCACTGTCCCTCAGACCCGTTGGAGGGCTGGACTATAGTTTAAAAAAAACTATGAACAAATTCCTATGCACACAACATATATCATATTTTGATGTGAAAAAACAAATGGGGCAAAAACACCCGGCGGACCGGATAAATGTCCTCGGCAGGCCACTTGTGGCCCACGGGCTGGACTTTGAGGGCCCCTACCCCAGCTCAACCAGCCATTGTATGTGGCCACCCCAGGGTGGACCAGGCCAGCTCCTTATTGCTGAAGCTCCAGGGGGTATCTAATGACTGAGGGGTCTGCTAGCAGCTGGGAGAATAAAGTTCTCATTCCTTCCCCAGGTGAAACCCAGGCAGTGCACCATAGTACACACACACACACCCCCACACACCCCACACCCCCACTGTCCCTATTTGCAGAATGCCCTTGCAGCCCAGGAGCAGGTGGCCACATCATGTCAGGAGCGGTGGAAGGTCTGAGAACTGCCCTACTAGGAAGCTGACGAGTGAGCCTGCACCCTTTCCGGCTTGCTGGCAGAAGACCCGGGGCTCTGTCACAGCAGGCACAGAGCCCCATGTCTTCAGCAGCCCCCCAAGTTCCATGAGGGTGGTGTGATGGGGACCCAGGCGGGTCTGTGCCCCAGGCCTAGGAAACCCCTAACCTTCTAAAAAGATTGTCTAAAGCAGAAGTGCCGCATGACAGTTAGGGATTGTCTCTTGAGACAACTGGAAGCAGCAACTGGTACTGGAGACACACACACACACGTTTCTTTCGGATCCTTTTGCCATTGCAGCGTTCATCACGTGCCCGACTCAGTGACATGAGGTGTCCTCCTCACCGTCCCACCACCCAGTCCTCTCCGTCCCCCTGAACAGCGTCTGTTAAACCCGGAGTCCCCTTCCCCGCCCGTCCTCCCTGCCCCTGCTAACCACAAGTGGCTGCCTCGGATGACTCCCTGGGGACTAAGCCACAGTTTGCTAGACCATCTCCTATGCCTTAGGGCAGTTGCTTCTCATTTTTCAATCAGTATCATTAATTCTCTGTGGGCAAAAGGTTAGGAGTCCTGGTGACACGGGTTGGTGTGTTGGGCAGTAATCTGCAAGGTGGCCAGCTCAAAACCACCAGCAGCTCTGGGGGAGGAAGCGGGGGCTTTCTACTCCAGTCATGAGTGACAGTCTCAGAAACTCAAAAGGGGGCAGCTCTACCCTGTCCGACGGGGTCGCTATGAGTCTGCATCAGCTCAGTGGCAGTGTGTTTGGTTTGGTTTGCTGGATAAAGGGTGAGCAACCCCCTTTCTTACTCTGCTTGAGAGTTTGACGTCTGGTTAACCATCTGCCCATATATCCCTGGAGAGCTGATAAAAATGGAGGGTGAAAAGTACCACTAGGTCACACTGCTTGTGGGGGAAAAAAATGGCTTTTTTTCCCGAAACTGCATCTAGACGGGAACATTACAAACACCCTGGTGGCGTTATGTCTCTGCATCCGGCTGCTAACCACAAAGTCAGCAGTCTGAAACCACCAGCGGCCACTGGGGAGAAAGATGGGTCTTTCTACACCTGTAAAGAGTGACAGCCCAAAAAAAAAAAAAAAAAAAGTGACAGCCTTGGAAACCGACGGGGGCAGTTCGACCCTCTCCAAAGAGTCTCGGTGCCATCAGCATTGACTTGATGGCTTGGCGCGTGGGACTTGGTGGGAAGTCACCCTTTGGACTGCGCAGCCTGGACGAGTCTTTCCCTGCGGCGCTGCGACAGGCACAGCGGCGTGACTCCTGCACCGGATGTTCACCTCCTTGCCCCTGAGCAGTGCCCTGCCAAGAGGCTATGCTTCCATAGTGTGTTCTGAGCACCGAGGTGTGGGCCCCTAATAGGACTGAGTGGAATTCAGGAAGATCCTGGTGGACCAGGCACCTTAAAGTGAATTTTTCCCTTAGGAGAGTTTCGCAGAAGTAGAAACTGCGTAACTGGACCTTCCCCAACCCCATGTGACATGTATCAGGGCAGTGTGGCTCAGTAGTGAATCCCTGCCCTCCATACGGAGACCCAGGGACCATTTCCTGGCCCGTGAGCCTCACACACAACCATCATCCCTCCGTGAGTGGAGGCTGGCTGGCCACCATGATGCCGAGCAGGTGTCAGTGGATGTTGTAGACGAGGAAGAAAGGCCTGGCGACCTGCTTCTGAGAGCCAGGCAGTGGGAACCCTGCGGCTGACAGCTGCACTCCCGTTGTGCACGGAGTTATTAAGACGTGGGGGCCAATCTGATGACCTCCAACAACAACAATGCCTGTACAGCAGCACTACGGTGTCACCGATTTTGTTGCTTTTAGCAATTTTATCAGTACGGTTTTATTGATTTCCTAAAGGGTTGTCCCACCAGCATTCTTCACCACAGTGCTGTGAGCAAACCATTTGCAGTGATTTTTTTTTAATTTATTTTTATTTTTTAACATTTTATTAGGGGCTCATACAACTGTTATCCCAATCCATACACACATCAATTGTGTAAAGCTCATTTGTACATTGTTTCTCAAAACATTTTTTTAAACCAGTGTAGATTTGATAAGAAATACTGGCTTCTTGTCATAAGATGCATTTTTTTTTTTTCATACTTTAGTGGTAAAATGAGTCCTAGCTTGGATAGGCTAAGGGTTCTATATATTCTTTTATATTATTATTATTCTTAATTATGCCGTTAACTGTAAACATTCATACACCTTAAGCTATATTATGTACAGATCTGAATGGTGGTATAATATATGATGTGCTCCATTACTTTCTGAAAATACAAATTATCCCAAATACCAAAACATACACGGCCTAAGGGTTTTAGATAGCAGAATCTAAACAATCTCTGTCTAAGGGAAAAAAAAGAGAGACGATAAATTTATAAAAAGCGGTAATTGCCTAAGGCAGAGAATAGTGGTTATGAATTATTTTGTAGTCTTCATTAATCGACATTTTTTAAAAGAAACTTTGAATTTCCTATAATACAGACAATAAGCATTACTTGCGTCACGGAGTTCTAGGATTCAAAGAAGACTCAAAAAGTTTCAAGCAGTGATAAGCACTCCATAAATGTAATCTGCTTAAAATATGCTGTGAATATCCAGAAAAACAAATTAGTCTTAAAATAAATACAGTCAGAATGACCCATAGACTTGACAGTGGTACGTATCGAGTTCCCTTCATCTGGGCACGTCCTGGGGACAGACTCATCACTAGAAGATGCCATCATGCTTGTTATAGAACCATTGGTGATCAGCAAAACCCTCACGAGGGACTGATAACAACAGCTGCCCGGTGCTCTCCAGCATATTCTTGATCGTGGAGAGCATGCTGGACCTGGCAGCATTTAGTTCTGTTGTGCACGAGGTCACCCTGGGTCCAAATCCACAAGTGGCACTTCGCAAATTATTGGGAAGCTTCGCGAGCAGTAGATAAACAGATGAGTAAAGAGCACAGGACAGCACTGCGTGTTGTGCTGTCCTGGGATGGTATCCAGCCAGTTCTAGCCTCGTGTTCTGTGTACAACAAAATGAAGCACTGCCCGGCCCTGTGCGGGTCTCACCTGCACGGCTGTGCTGAGGGTCTCCCTCTTGCATATTTTTTTTTTAATGTTTTTTGGTTTAAGAATTTTGGTTCGGTTTATTTATTTATTTTAAATGATGATTTTTACACTCTAGGCTTGAGAACGACCATTTCTTTTTTCATGAATCAACGCTTCCTTTCTTAGGGCTCGCAGAAAGAATTCAATTGCAAGTAAATGGAATGTCACATTTTTGGAGGCACGTCCCCTCCCCTTCTAAACTGTCCTTTCTGCCGCCCCCCAGGTCTACGAGGTCCTCCTCCCACAGTACGCCAAGCTCGAGCAGAGAATCTTGTCCCAAACCCGGGGGCCCACAAAGTGAATCTTGCCCGCCCAGGTGCCCTGTAGACCCTGCCAGTCACACTTGGGGACACGGCCCTTGCAGGACAGCAGAGATCTTCGGTTCCCTGGGCTGACTCCTCAAGTGCCGCAGCCTGCCCCAACCTCCAGGAGCCCAGCCAAGGCACATCTTCCTGAAGAAGGAGAAGCTGCTTGTGCCCTTGTGCGCCCGGGCAGGAAAGCAGCTTTCTTTCCTGTATCTATCCCAGAAGATGGCAATCATGAATAAATCCAGTGCAGTGAATGTATCGCTGACTTTTCCTCTCTTGAGAGGAGGCAGAAGGGAAGCAGCCAATACAGGGAAACCAGCAGAATGGAAGAGCCAAAGTCCTCTCTGATACCCTGCTCTCATCAGCTGCTCCTCCCCATACTCTGGCCCCAGTCCAGCCTGCCCAGACTCACCCACTGTCGTCTGCTCCTCTCTGGAACCCCTTCTTCCCTCCACACCTGGGCCGCCTAAAGTATCCTTCCAGTTTGCTTTTGTGTTAGTCTGGATGGGCTAGAGAAACAGATCCAGGGAGACTTGTGTATAAGAAAGAGCTTTATATCAAAGAGCAGTTGTATAATGAGAAAACAGCCGAGTCCAGATCAAGTCCATAAGTCTGATATTAGCTCATGTGTCTGATACCAGTCTATAAGTTCCTCTTCAGACTCAGGTAGCACATGCAAAGACGCCGAATGCAGGAAAATCACAGGCCAGTGGGTGGGAAGTCTTGTGGATCCAGTGGTGGGGGCAGCATCTCAGTGCTGGTGTGGCTCTTCACATGGCTCCTTTAGCTCCAAGTTTCTAGCGTGGCTCTGTGTGTCTTATCAGCAGGAAGATGAAGCAGTGTCTCTGTGTATGTGGCCTCCAGTGAGCTATTTATCTCTGGTGCCTCCAAATGAGGTCATCAAGCTGCAACCTGATTGACAGGCTAGACTCCACCCCTTCACAGGTTGACACCGGATTATGCCACTGCCACAGCTTTCTTGGCTGCCCCAGGCTTACAGCTCCTTCACTCTCTCCTCCCTTTAGTGGGCGCCTGCCTCTGGCTTTGATCTCACCTCTTTCCTCCCTCACTTCCTCCAGATCCCCATGTGTAGCTCACTACCTCCCACCTGACCGGCCTGACGGACATGCTGCCTGTCCCTCCGTCCAGCTCTGACCACGCACTGCTGGACTCCCAGGGCCGTGAGGTGATGGGGAGGGACCATCGCCCAGGCGGCCTGTTTAGGGTTTCTCTCGCACTCTCTTGTTCCTTCTTGCCATCTGCTTGTTGAAGAAACTGGGCCACTTACCTGGGAGAATCCCCCCAATTCTGGATTTGCTGACCGTTCCCTTGCACTGTGAACTGGCGATTGGACTAAGAATCAGCTTTCTGAACCTCAGCACTGCTGACATTTTGGGCCAAGCTGTTTATCACCTGTCCGGTGTGAGCTTCCCTGACCTCTCTGTCCAGGCGTCAGTACCCTTCCTTCCAAGACCCATCATAGATTGTGGGGTTAAGGGTAAGAGGGAACCCCACAAAACATCACAGGTTTGGTAGGCGCAATTGTACAGCGATAATAAGTAGAGATTATAGTAAAGTCATAGAGAGCATGAGAGTTAAAGGATAGAGTCAAGTAATGGAGTCAGACGCAATTCATGGTAGCATATCTCACCTCAACCCGGCTTGATGGTCCTCGCGGAGGGGGCTTAGCCATCAGAGAAGAAGCTGCTGCTTCATCCTCCTTAGTCACCTTCTCCAGCCACCCTCTCGAGTACCAGGGAGCCTCGTTATTTATTGCTAACCACGCATCATAGTCATACATCACAGAAAGAGCTATACAATTCATTCTAGAACAAGTTTGATCATTCTGGTGTCTCATACAATAAAGCGGGCAATTACTATCCTGGGAGACATGCAAGTTCCCTGATAGTGGACAATAACCTGAGTCACCAGGAGGGGTATTAACATAGGCAATACAAGCAATAGGAGGGGGATGACCTAGGGGTGAATGTGCAATAGTAAGAGAGGGGAATAGGGGGGCATGTGTGGCAAGATAGTAGCCTAAGCTTAGTCATCTTAGAGTGGTCCCAGGCTTGCCTATGGGCACTGCTTCGAGGGAACAATAACAGAAGGGAATGGGCTTTATTTAGGGTGAGTCCGACTAATAGTCTAGCCACTAAAGATGACTGATGTTAAGGAGAATAACCTCTGACTTACTTTCGCTGTCTAAAGAACAGTCACGCTAACGCAGCTAAGTTTGGTACATATTTTGGGGAGACAAGAGAAACCCTTCTGTTCCCCACAATAGATGGTGATGTATCCTTCCATCGGACGCAGACTCTGATTTTCTCTCTTTTTGCAATATCGAATGCATAGATCTATCAGTTCATTAGGGGTGGGAAGTGATTCTTTGCTGATTAGCTGGAATTCTTCTCTACGAGAAGTGAATGCCCCCTCCTACTCACCGCCCAGTTATCCAGTGGTATTTGTGTAAGAAGAGGCAGAATAAATGGCATCTTTCCTCTTTATTCACCACTTTTCAAACCGAGTTCATTCCCAGCCGTCCTCCGATAGCAAGCAATGAGGCTTTTATTTGTAGTAAGGGGAGGATACATCTAAGGGGCCCTGGTGACAACCGTGGTGAAGCACTTGGCTGCTAACTTGAAGGTTGGCAGTTCAAACCCACCAACACGCTACAAGAGAAGGATGCAGCAGTCTGCTTCCATCGAGACTTAAGAGCCTTGGAAAGCACTGGGGCAGTTCAGTTCCGTCCCTGTAGGCTTACTGTGGATGGGGTAGATTTGGAGACGCACACATCATGATACATTTACATCCCCTCTAGTAATTATTCTGACTATCTGTCTCTCTGTTTTGATGGGCTCGGCTTCTAGATTTCTCCTGCTTTTCTCCCCCTTTTTTTCTTTGCATATACTTTTGCTCTCTGGCCTCCTCATTGGTGACTTGGCCCACGTGTGCATCCTCACCTCTCCCGTCCCCTTCCCTTGCTCTCTCTCGCTGACCAGTCTCATCTGTTCCCGTGTCTGCAACGATCATCTCTAGGCCAGTGGCACCCAGCTCTGTGTCCCTGGGCCACAATTCCCTAGAGCCATCTAGCCTTTTCACGGGAATACATTAGGTGCCACATGCCCTTGTTTGGGCCCATGTTTAAGTGTTTTTTATTTTACCAGAGTTCACATTTCCGTCAGCACCACCATCTGTCCATTCGCCCAGGAACACACACACACACCCCACACCCCCCACCCCGCCCCGCATCATGTCAGTTACCAAGTGAGTTCAGGCCCGCTTTCTGAATCGCTCTTAGAGCTGTTCCATCTTCTCTAGTCCTCCTAGTGTGATCCTTCTATTCCCTGCTCAAATTATTGCAAAGCCCCCTTTCCCCGCCCCCAACGGAAGGTTCTCTGTCACCTGACTTCTTCAAAGTCCTTCAAGTCTCTGCCAACGCCGCTCCCCTACATGAGACCCCAGGGAAAACCAGGTGCCTGGTGGCCTCGCCTGAAACACTGCAGAGGCCTGATGTGTTGGCCCATCAGCGCAGTGGCTATTGGGAAGTCGAAAGAAAGGGAGAGGAACCTTGATCTGTCACTTCTGAGAGATTCATCAGTCTTGGGGGGGTGGGGGGTCTCATGGAGGTGTGGCAGCAGAAGAGACAAAGGGAAGCAAGAAGCGGGACTAATGGCCCCTCACCTCCACAGCTAAGTTGAAGATGTAGAGGAGACAGACAACTACTGCCTTCCTGCCAGACAACACTGTTAATGAAAGAAATCTTACTTTAGTCATCAACAGAAAAGGTTTCTCCTACATTAGGCACCAGGAAGCTACTCAGACTAGTCTGCCTCTCACCACTGCCCCCGTAGAATTGTCTTTCGTTGTTACCCAACACAGCAACTTAATGGAAAAAGGAACTCATTATACCTGTACAAGTGGGCCTCTGATGAAAACACTTCAAAGTCAAAAATAATCATTGACTTTAATGCAGCACTCACACATTAAGTTAAAAATAAATTAGACTTCCAATGTGACTATGGAAGTATGCCACAGATTAAAATAAAATTAAAACTTGGAATAAAAAGGGAAAAGCAGGCATATGTGAAATGAGAAGGGACCAAACCTGGGAAAGAATTAAAGCAATAAGTAAATAAAGCCCTCAGGTATGAAGACTAAATTATAAAGTATCCAAATGAGGATTAAAAATTCTGAATGTACAAGAAAGTTCATAGATGTCAAGTGAGGGGGAAAAAGTTTTATATTTGTTAGTCCAGGTTCACTAGAGAAACAAATCGAGAGACATGTATAAAAAGAGCTTTGCATTCCAGGATGCACACCTTCCCGACACGATTGCTGAAGAAAAATGTGAACATAAGCAAAGGTGGTGAAGAAAGCTGATGGTGCCCCCAGCTACCATAAGATATAACGTCCGGGGTCTTAAAGGCTTGAAGACAAACAAGCGACCATCTAGCTGAGAAGCATCAAAGCCCATATGGAAGAAGCATACCAGCCTGTCTGACCATGAGGTATAGAAGGGATCAGTTATCAGACATCAAAGAACTGAAAATCATATCAGTGGGTGTCCGCTTTACTGACACAATCACTGAAGACAAACGTGTGCATAAGCAAATGTGGTGAAGAGAGCTAATGGTGCCCGGCTATCAAAAGATAATAGTG